GTTCTCTGCCTGCAGCAGGCCTCAATTTAGGCTTCCCAGGCCTGAAAGGCTTTAGTTAGACCTAAGTTATTGGGGTCAATATAGTGGGAACGACGTAAATATGTAATAGGGATCAGACTCGAGGGTCCCTTCTGGCCTTAAATGCTGCAAAAGAAAGGTTTGTTAGTTTTAAAATCCCTTGGTTCAGTAAAAAGGGGTTGCTAGGAATGCGGAGGAGAACAGATCTATCCACACCTGGGACGATCGTGTCACTCTAAGGCCTGGTCTACACTGGCGGGGGGGGGGGGGGGGGGAAAGACCATCAAAAGCACGCCCCAAGGGCGACGTATCTTAGATGGAATTAAAATTCCTTACTTCGCGTCATGGCGCTGGATCAACGGCTGCGGCTCCCCTGTCGACTTTGCTTCCGAGTTCAGCAGTCGACGGGAGAGCGATGGGGGATCGATTTATCGCATCTACACTACATGCGATAAATCGATCCCCGATAGATCGATCGCTACCCGCCAATCCGGCGGGTAGTGTCGACGTACCCTTAATCAACAAACCGCTTCCCCTTAGCAAAAGGTGTTTATGGCTCTCCCCAGGAAACAGAGCTGTTCCTCTCTGAAATACACTTGCTTGTGTAACATTGCAAAGTCCTGTGTAGCACGTGCCATAAACCAATTTATTAGCTCTGTGCCTTACAAGGGAAATGTAAATCATCACAGCAGCTGATTGCCCCCGCCGCAAACCTCAGGATTTTATGTGCTCATGAGACACTTTTTTATTTAGCTGGGTGAATTTTCATTCAGCCCCAGGGCTGGGATATAAATATCAAACTCATTCTAACTGCTGGTGCTCCTGCCAGCCAAGAAGGGGAATATGCAATTATACCTATTTATAGCATGTGAGCCCAAGGCTGCCGCACAGTGTTTTATTATGAAATGAAAGACTTTCTATGCGCGCTTTGGGCAGGAGTTCCATTGACTCCCGCCCCTCCCCCTTCTCCCTGCACCCCGGTGCTTTCCGATGCCTCTCACTGGAGGACATTCAGTCTAATGCAGAACAAGAGAGGGCCTTAAAGCACCAGCTACCTCCCTATGTCGGCGGATCTCCAGGGCAACGCATTCCTCCCCAGCTGAGTTTGGCCTGCAAGCTGCTCTCCAACCCCTACTTGCCATAGAATCTACTGTTCCCATTTACTGCTGCTCTCCCGGCTTTCATCTCCGCACTTTGCAACCAGAGATCACTCCCTCCTTCATTCATTATTATTTCCAGGGCAAAAAGGTTCCAGCTGAGACCAGGGCCCCATCCTGCGAGGAGTAGAACTGGTCAGTTTTGTTGGAAAATGCCAATTTTGCAGAGATGTAGTGGGCTGACGCATTTCCAGTGAACCAACAAGCAGGGTTTCGGCAGGCCGCTGGTAGGTCTCCAACCCAGTCGTCTGGTAGACTGCGGGGCTTCCGGGGTCCCTGCCACCGAGCAGGAAAAGTGCCACCCCTGGGAGCTCCAGTTGGCACCAGGGCTCTCAGCGTCCTAGGCTACCCTTCCTGCAGCTATGGACCTTGACTTGTCCCCCGGAGTAAGGATCAGCTGGCTGCTCCAGTTCACGCGGAAAGATACTGAACCAAAACAGTTTGATTTTGCTGCAAAATAAAAAAATCCAGACTGTCCTTTTCCCTGGGAAATGTCATGTTTTTGAGTTTCTGTTCCAATTTGGAACAAAAACTTGTTCAAGAGGTCAAAGAATTTCTGAGCAGAACTGAAATTCAGAGTTTTGACCAGTGAGGAACTGCACTGCCACACAATGAGAAACAGTCCCTGCCCCGAAGAGCCCACAATCTAAATAGACAAGCCCGATGAAGGGTGGGGAAATGAGGCGTGTTCTCCCCCTTGGACAGATGGGGACCGGAGCAGCAGATTTGCCCTGGATTACACAGGGAGGCTATGGAAGAGCAAAGGATTGAACCCAGATCTCTCCAGTCCCTGCCTAGCACTTCATGCACCCGCCCATCCTTCCTCCTTTCCCCAAATAGTCAATGTGAGTTTTTAATTGGGGGTGTGTGTGTGTGAAACTTTTGACTTTAGTTTTAAAGACAAAAAATTAAGACCTTTCCCCAAGGGTCAAAGAAAATAATGCGGGAGCCTAGAACCTAACAACCCCAGTGATCAAGTGCCTTACAACTAAGTTTGGCAGAATTCAAGTCTTCTGGGTTTTGTACCATTTCAGTGGGTCATATCAATGTTTAGATTTTTAAGCATTTCCCCCCCTAATTTTTATCTATTTAAATTTTCACATTTGTGGGAAATCAGTGGGGGGCAAGTTTCAGACAGTAATTATTTAATGACCATAGATGTTGAGCTTCAAAAAGCGAGATCTGCATAACTGTTAAAACCCGTTTTGTGAACATCATATGTTAAAATATACAAAGTAAATATCCTTAACTCAGAGACTAACAAATGTATTTGAGCATAAGCTTTCATGGGCTACAGCCCACGTCATCGGATGCCTAAAATGGAACATCTAGTAAGGAGATATATATACACATACAGAGAACATGAAAAGGTGGGAGTTCATGTTCTCTGTATGTATATATATCTCCTTACTAGACGTTCCATTCTATGCATCCGATGAAGTGGGCTGTAGCCCACGAAAGCTTATGCTCAAATAAATTTGTTAGTCTCTAAGGTGCCACAAGTACTCCTGTTCTTTCTGCGGATACAGACTAACACGGCTGCTACTCTGAAACCTGTCCTTAACTCAAATTAAAATAAATTCTCAGGCAGAATTTTCTTTTTACTTTGCCTGTCAGTAAATTTGGATAATGGACAGAAACGTGTTTGGTGAAATTGACAATTAATGATAGTTACCGATAAAAAACAAACCCTTCCAAACCTCCTTATAAATACCATGATACAGGCACCTCGTTAGCCTGACACGCCCTTTAACCACACATCAAAGACAGCAGACTATCAAATACTGCCATGCACATGTCCCTCTGAATGAGAAGACTTCAGCTCCACAGCCCATTCACCACTCACCCTCGCTTCTGAAATGCAGCCAGCCAGCGCTGATTAATACTTTTCATTCATAAGATTCAGGGGGTGGGGTGTTGGCTTACACAGAAAATGACCTTTTCATAAAATAAATTTCAGCAGGAAATATCGGTTTTCAATGAGGTTTTTATTTGGGGGGGCGGGGAGATCAGACAATATCCCCAAATGACCCTGTTTTTCAATGAAAACCTGAAAATATTTGTAGAAAAAATGTCAACAAAGATGAAAAACCTTACAATTCCTGACCAGCTCCAGGTGCAACCTCATGGGAGGGGGAGGCTGGATGGAGGGGGATAGAACCTCATCCTGTCCGGCGCTGTTCTTACTCTGGAGGTATCGCTCCTCCCGCCCCCCAAAAATTCAAGCTCCCTGCAATTCCCCCTCTCGGCGGCCCGATCCAAAGCTCACTAAAGCCAATGGAAAGATTCCTATTGACTTCAGGGGGCTTTGGAGACTGCCCTACACAGATTCCCCTCTCTCCTCCTGAGCCAGTCCCTCCAGCATCCTACCTCCTGTATCCTTTATTTCTTTCCCTCACGCCGCTCATTATTTCAACCTGAAGCCAATTCAGGGTCCTGCATGGGTGCTGCCTGCACGGCCCTGAAGGGCTGCAAACGGGGGTGGAACAGACGGCTGGCTGCATGGCTGAGAATTAGCCAACAGAGAGGTGGGTGGCACATGAGATGGGAACTGGCCTTGCAGGGACATCGGTTCAGGCCCCTAAATGGAGGCCCGGTCCATATCTGTGTCATCCTCCAAAGCCATAGGAATGTTGCATGACGCCACCTGCCAAGGTGCATTATGTAGCTGGAGTCCCAGGACCGTGAGCTTGGCTGACAGATCCCGGAGGGAGCAGTGGGGGAAAGCCGGGCAGGCAACACATTTCAGAGCCATTTGGAGAAGGGGCACACAGAGCACATCCTCCTCCCCTGGGCCATGCATTGTGCTGGGGTCACAGTTGGCACTGAGGGGCTGGTAGTGCAGCCAGTCAGAGATTGCCAAGAGCAAAGGCACTTTCTACTTCTGTTTGCAGCTCACCACTCGGCTTAGAGCTGGCATTACCTACCCACCCCACACCAGAGCAAACGGGGGTCACAGATCAGGAAGGATCTTCGCTGCCCTGCTGTGGGTTCCCCTGCATGAATGTGAGAGGGCTGTTAGCTCCCTGCTGGGACCAGCTCACCGGGCAGGGGTGGGGTGGCGGGCCTCAAGTCTCAGGCTGCCAGATGAGACAGAGAGGCTGAGCACTACGCTCTAATACCGAGCTGGCTTGTGTCACTTTGCCATCCCGTGCCTCGGTTTCCCCAGCTGTAGAATAGGGACAATCATGCCACCCAGCCTTCAAGAGCCACAGAGGGAAAAGCACTCCATGCACTAGCTTGTGATGGCCAAAGTACGTGGGTGCGTTCTCCGAGAGAGCAGGTAAGTAGGTATAGTTGGGAGTGGAGTCTTGTGCAGCCGGAACACAGCCCTACAGGTACCTCTGCATGTCATCGTTAACTCTTTCACTGCTGAGCATTTTATCACACATCCAGACAACGTACTGTTGGTAGATGGAGTGGCTGACAATAGGGCAGCGGAGCTGTCGGTCGAGGTTTGCTGGCATGGGGAGATAAACTTTGATGCCCCCGCCCAACCTACAATCACCGCTGCCCAAAGGAGGGAGGAGATAAATTCCCTTTCCCCCTTCTAGCCACCAGAAGACCCAGTTACCCACCTCCCTCCCTGGTTCTGTCAATACAGCACCAGGTTTCACCGAGCATTTGGCGGGGCTGTGGGGGCTCCCTGACTTCGATTTGACAGTAAGCCAGGGACAGTGTGTAGTGATGGATTTGGCGCTGCAGCAGAGTGGAGGAGCTACTGTGCATGGAGGATTTGTACCAACCCCCCTTATTGAAAAGGCTGCAGCAGGAAGAGGGTTAACACAACCTACAGCCATGGAACAGCTTCTTTTCCGCTTGCGACGCACTCTGCCTTAGACTGACCGCTGCTTGCCCTCAGGCCAGGGGCCAGCTTGCATGGACTAGAGCAGGTGGTGATGCCGTCACCATTAACCCTTTAGTTAGCAGAGGAGCCAAGAGATCAACAGACCTTTGGAGGGCACAGTACAGCTCTATTTCACCGCCCACTGCTGGCACACATGGCTTCCTACGCCGCATGCCAGCTGGGGCTCTCCTGGGACTGCCGGTGCAGCTGTTAACAGGCAGCTGGAGCTTACGGTCTCTCCCAGGCCCCTGCTGCTATGTGTTTCCTACCCACCCACCAGTGAAAAGAGTCAGGAAGACAGGGAATTCCCCCCTCACCCAGGCACTCAGAGGGAGCAGGGGCTGCTGGAACCTGGGGATTTGCACCTCCCTGCTAAAGGGGGAGGGAAGCTGCAGGCTGCATTAAGGCTCCATGAGCCACCACTCCCCAGGAGAGCATCCTATAAACCAGCACCTGCTCACACCGTCCCCCACCAGACCAGACACACCGGCACATGAGACGCTGGGTGGATCGGATCGGCACCAGGTTTCCACGACAGCCGCGTGATCATTGCAGCGTGCAGACGGCAAGCCTGGTGCCAAGGCTGCCTTCGGAGGATGGGCACCATCTCTAAACAAAGGAGAGCAGAAGAAGCCAGGACTCTGGGCCAGCAGCTCCCACGTCCTGCTGTTGTCATTATTTATTAGGGACCCACCGTCCGGAGAGAGCACACAACGCGTATGGAATGGCTACGAGTGTGAAGTCCCCACAGCCGAGGCAGGGCTGGGCCAACGCAGGTCAGGGGACTGCCAGGAACACAAGGGGACCCTGCCTCACATGTGGGGAAGCCATGTCCCGTGGGGAAGGACTGGGGCTAGAGGATATCACTGGTGACCTGGAGCTGGGAATCCCTCAGGCAGGAAGAGAGGCACCTAGGGAGGGAAGAATGGGATCTACATCCGCTGGACAACCTGGGAAACTTCCTTCCATCACGGGACGGAGATTCCATGTGGCTCAGACAGGCCAGGCAGCCTGGAACACTCCGCCCGGCTGGGCCCCTATCTCTTGCCCAGCTCGCGAGCCCGCATGGTTGCAGCCTCCACGGCATTCATGACGGTGGCCCGCAGCGCCCCCTTCTCCAGCTCGTGCAGGGCGTGGATGGTGGTGCCGCCAGGCGTGCAGACGTTGCTGCGCAGCTTGGCCGGGTGCTCCCCTGTCTCCAGGATCATCTTTGCTGCTCCCTGCAAGAGGAGGCGGACTCAGAGAAGAGCGGGGTGGGTGGGGGGCTGTGCCTTAGCATCCTATAACTGTCCCAGCTCTCTGATTTGGGGAGCTGGGGGAGGGAGACCATGCTCCATCCAAACTGCTCCCTTCCCAGGAAGAGACGCAAGCGACTTCCCCACTCTCCCATTGGCTCACTCTGTGGCCTTTGGGAACAGAACCCAGGTCTCCCAACCTGGGTGCCTTGCTCTGATTGCTAGACAGCACTGCCTCCCATTGTTATACATGGTGTGAATGCCATTAACACAAGAGTTAAGGGGAACCAGGTCAAACTCTCGTCATAGTAATGCAGCTAATGTACCCCATTGTAAATTCATGACCTGCTTCCTCCAAGGGGTAGAAAACCTGCCTTACAATGATAGACTCACGGAGCTTGGTCTATTTAGCTTAATGAAGAGCAAGTTAAGGGAACAACAAGGAGTCTGGTGGCACCTTAAAGACTAACAGATTTATTTGGGCATAAGCTTTTGTGGGTAAAAACCTCACTTCTTCATGCATCCGAAGAAGTGGGGTTTTTACCCATGAAAGCTTATGCCCAAATAAATCTGTTAGTCTTTAAGGTGCCACCAGACTCCTTGTTGTTTTTGTAGATACAGACTAACACGGCTACCCCCTGATACTTGACAAGTTAAGGGGTGACTTGATCACAGTCTATAGGTACCTACATGGGGAACAAATATTTGATAATGGGCTCGTCAGTCCATCAGAGGAAAGTCTAACACCATCCAATGGCTGGAAGTTAAAGCTAGACAAATTCAGACTAGAAATAAGTCAGAATTTTTTAACAGTGAAGGTAATTGGCCATTGGAACAATTTACCCCAAGGGTCTTGGTGGATTCTCCATCACTGGCAATTTTAAAATCCAGATTGGCTGTTTCTCTAACAGCTCTGCTCTCGGAATGATTTGGGGGCAGGTCTCTGGCCTGTCTAAAACACAAGGTCAGGCTAGATAATCACAATGGTCCCTTCTGGCCTTAGAATCTATGATGGATGCAAGAAATTGGCCAGCTGGTAATCCACAGATTAAGGGGCAGCTGGCTCCAGGAGCCCTCTTCCCCAGTCTGTGCATGGGGATCCTACCTCTAGCCTGCATCCTGCTCCCCCTCTGTTCACATGGTTCTGGTTTCGCTAACTGGAAGGACTTTGGGGCAGTTACTGACTCTTCCTAGGTTTGTCCGGTGCAGCTGCAACCACCTCCTCCCTCTGGTGGCCATGCTAGGACAGCCAAAGAGGCTTTGCTTCTTCCAGTTCAGCCCCATCACGTCCTGGATGAGTCCCCAGGACTGACTGCAAGGATTCTTAAGCAGCAAGGCCCCTACGGGTCCCAGAGGAGCCCTTACACACTTGGCTGATCACAGCTCAGCTCAAACGGCAGAGTCCGTCAGAGAAACTAAGGGGGTAGGAACCAAGGTGTGGTAAGACAGCAACAGCTAAGGAATTACTGGAAAGGCAGATGGAGCCGCAAGGCACAGGGGCGATACAGGAGTTTTCCTTAAGACTGAGAGCTTTTCCTGGGCACTTGCTGTATGGGCAGTAGCAGAGGGTGTTGCAGGCTGCACTGGGGAACCCAGGACTGGAATAGATGTCGGAACTGCAGGTCAGAAGAAAGGTGCATTGGGAGCTGATGGAGGGGACAGGACTGGGTTAAATGGGGGAATCTGAAGACTGACAGCAAAGTCCAAACTTACCAGCAGTGTCTGGGCTGCAATTTTATTGGCCAAGGCACTGGGCATGCCCATCTTCACAGCACCGTCTGCCAGGGCTTCAGCAAACAAGTAAACCTGGAGCAGGGAAAGGCGGACATTCAGGGAACAGCTAGATCTTACTCCTGTTGCTTCTGGAGGACAGGACATGGAGGCATCCTAGTACAGGAGCCAGCCTGGCAGTGCTGAGCCAGCAGAGCCTTCCAAACGCTGCTGGCCACCATCCTGATCCTGGCAGAAATCAGACGCCCATGAAGCTATAAGCAAGTTACAGGCAAGGGACTGAGGTCTCCAACTGGACTCCATTAGACCCCTGATTCCCAAGCCTCTATGGGCAACGGCACCAGTTACTAGACTAAGAGCTCAGCTGTAGCAGCCCCGGACCCCCGTGTGCTGTCTAACCGACCAGGGGCGCAGGCTGCCCCACTCTAAGATCACATGGTTTAGAGGCAGCCGAGGGTCTATCACGGGCATGAGCACACACAGCTCAGCAGGCACCAGGGATTCGTCGTTCAGGGAGAGAGGGGAGCCCAGGGTGCCCATCGGAGAAGCCTCAAGTGTCAGGACTGATAACTCAGAGCAATGCTTGGGAGTCGCTGTATGCAGCTGCAGAAAGCCCAGGGTGGAGGGAACAACCCTGCCCTGGCAGGGCTGGCAGACGATCAACCGGGAAATACCTGGGGCTGGAGGGCCCAGCACAAGGGCACTTACGTAGGCTACCCCGCTGCCACTCAGGCCTGTGTGGATATCGATGTAGGACTCAGGCGTTTCTTCACACAGCCCGCAGGCGGACAGCAGGCTCCTCAGCAGGGCGGCCTCCTGCTCCCCAGCACAGCTCCCCCGGGCAACCACCACTGCCCCCTCCTGCACCACGCAGGGCAGGTTGGGCATGACCCGCAGCACCTTGGTCCCAGCAGGGAGAAGCTGCAGGGAGAGACGGCCGTGATACTAAACCAGGAGAACACTGCTGCTGGTGGGGACAGGGGCTGGGAGACAGCCCAGCGGTCTCAACGGAGGGCGTAGTATGTGCCTTTGGTCACAGAGGACATGGCAGGCTTAACCCAGCCCTTGCAGTGTGTCCACATGGCAAACCCACCAGGCAGCTCAGGAGCTCAGCATGATTGCCAGGGGAAGCCAGGGCTGGGAAGGCCGAGGGGCTGAAGGTCAGGATTGAGGGGCATCGGCAAGGCTGTGCGGGGGAGGGGGGGTGTCCAGGACTGGGATAACAGGGGGGCTGCAGGTCAAGATAGAGGGGCACAGGGCATAATACTCAATCTGTGGCAATCATTTTACATAGTACAGGGAGGAGCGGAGGTGGGTGGGGAAAAACCATTGACAGCAACTTAGGAAGGAGGGTTTGCGGAGCCTAGCCGGGGTGGTGTGTGTGTGTGTCAGCTCAGCGCCCCCTGCTGGATTCAGTCTCTTCAGATACGTACAGAGAGGCAACAATTCAGAAGCAGGACTAAACAGAGAACAGCTGATTGATGACAAGAAACACAAAACCACCAGGGATCACGCTTGCTGGCTAGCACAGCCCACCAAGCAGGCCCATGTATGCCTGTGCTAAGCTCCAGGCCTTTGGCTCCTCTGCTGAGACTGGCACAAACTGACCTGCTTGCTGGCAACCAGTACATGGCGACCTGACAGGGCTGGATTAAGGCATAGGCATGATAGACCCATGCCCTGGGCCCCAGCTCCTGGAATCATGGGATTACAGCACATTTTCAGCTTTCACTTAAAAAAAAATAAAAGTCTCTAGCTCTCCTGACTGCAAAGGGAAGCTTGAAAACATTACCTGGGCATAACAGGTACAGGGACGGCTGCCTGAGTCTGCAGAGAAACTGGGACAATAGCTCTGAGAGGTGTGAACTGCCTCATACACCTCAATGGGCTGGATTACACCTGGAAGTAGCAAGCACCGCCTTTCCCAGAACAATACTCCATGTGTGGCAGAAGGGGAAGAGTACAGCAGGCCTGGCGTTCCACCCCAGCAGGCCAGGTGTAAGTACTGGGACACCCCTGGCTACCCCCTGCCTCTTTGGGATGGAGAGGGTAGCTATTCTTAAGGGATGGATGCCCCCTGCAACTCCCTCCCCTGCCCCCACACCCATTCCATGTAGGGGGGCAGATCTATGGCACATGGGGGGGGGAGCCTTGATCTGGCCCTGGCTGTATACACACTGGACTCACTGGAGAGCTGCGTGGATTTGGAGCGCTCTTTACCTACAGGCATTCTTCCTCTTATCCAGGCCATTGTATAAAAGCAAATATAAACCCTTCACATGTGTGTGCATGCCCCGGACACTCACAGTTTAATGGGGGGTGGGAGGGACAAGAGGGACCATCAGATACTCACCTGTTGCAGGGTCTGCAAAGTGACTCCAGCAGCCACCGATACGATAATGTGGTCCCGGGTAACGGCAGGAGCAATCTCTTGCAGGACTCCAGGAAGCAGGTGAGGCTTGGTGGCTAGGAAGACCAGGGTACAGCGCTGCAGCACCTCGCTGTTGCAGTGCGTCGTCCTGCAGCCCAAATCCTGCCGCCCAAGGAGATGGGACACGGTTAAAGGCTTGGAGAGGAAAGGCCGGCAGAGCGGGACAGGCTGGAATTCACCAGTACAACAGCAGCACTCAGCACCCGCCTGCTCTTAACACGCTTTGTGACATTAAAACTCAGCCCGGTGAGGTGGGGAAGGGCCATTTGAGGATCATTTCATCCGGTACTGGCATGCACTTTAAACTGCAAGGCTGGGGTACTGGGCTGAGTATTGACCCAAAGGGAAGGGCTCCCCCAGCTAATTCACCAGCACCATTTCCCAGGGCACCCGGGTGTTCCTCACAGGAATTTAGTAGCTTGCAGGATCTGATGGGATCACAACAAAGTGGCAT